AGCTTTTGATCTAATGAGTTTTCTCTATTGTTTTTCTATTCCACTGATTTTCACTTTGATCCTTATTATTTCCTTTCTGTTGCTTACTTTGGGTTTAGTCAGTTCTCATTCCTTAAGGTGGAGGCTGAGGTCACTGGTTGAAGGGCCTTCTTTCCTGATTCAGGGGTTTAGAGCTATGAAATGCCCCCACTGTCCTGACTTAGAGACATCCCATAAATTTTGATGTGTTGTATTTCCATTCTGTGTAAAATACTTTAGAATTTCTCTTTTGATTTCTTATTTGATCCACTGGTTATACAGAAGTAGTTCAGTTTCTTAATATTTGGGGACTTTTCCAGAGATGATCTTCTTATTGGTTTCTAATTCAATTCCACTGAGGTCTGACAATGTATTTTAATCCTTTTTAATTTACTGAAAGTTGTTTCATGTCCTCAAATATGGTCTTATTTGAGAAGACGCTTCTCTGTTGCTCTTGGGTAGCTGCTGCTGCTGCTGCTAAGTCGCTTCAGTCATGTCTGACTCTGTGCGACCCCATAGACGGCAGCCCACCAGGCTTCGCCGTCCCTGGGATTCTCCAGGCAAGAACACTGAAGTGGGTTGCCGTTTCCTTCTCCAATGCATGAAAGTGAAAAGTGAAAGTGAAGTCGCTTAGTCGTGTCTGACTCTTCGCGACCCCAAGGACTCTAGCCTACCAGGCTCCTCCATCCATGGGATTTTCCAGGCAAGAGTACTGGAGTGGGTTGCCATTGCCTTCTCCGGCTCTTGGGTAGAGGGTTCTATAAATGTTAATCAGGTCAAGATTGTTGTTGTTTAAGTCTACTACCTGTTGGTTGATTTTCTTCACATGTGTTCTATCAATAATTTAAAGTATTGAAATCCTTGTAATTGTGGGTTTTGTCAGTTTTTTCTATGTGTATTTTGAAGCCATTATTACATACGTAAATGTTTTAGCATCATTATGTCTTCTGATTCAGACCCCTTCATCCTTATGAAATGAACTTCTTTATCCCCAGAATTATTCTTTCCTCTAAAGTCTACCTTGCCTAATATAATATAGCCACATCAACTTTCTTTTGATTCCCAGTAGCATGATATATCTCTTTCCATCTTCTTACATTTAACCTACCTGGGTCTTGTTTTTAATCTAATCATATTGTTTTCAATCTCTTCACTGAGGAATCTAAACCTTTTACATTTAATTTGATGACTGATGGTCAGATTTGAATGTATCACCTTGCTATCTGTTTTCTACCTGTCCCATATATTCTTGTTTCCCTTTTTCCTGTCTTTTTTAAAACTATTTTTTGTAATTCTGTCTTATCTAATTTATTGCCTTACCAGCTCTCACATTTTGCTTGTCACTTTAGTGGTTGCTTGAGGCTTCATAACATACCTTGAATTTACTATAGTCTGCCTTCAAGTGTTATTAAACTACTTCATAGACAAGAACCTGACAGTGGCATACTTCCCTCCTCCCCCATGACTTTTATGCTACTGTTCTCATGCATTTTATATTTCTATCTTATAAATCCTCCAATATATTGCTACAGTTTTTATTTATACAATTATCTTATAAAGAGATCTGAATAAGAACTAAGTCTTATACAATTATCCATTAATTACAATTTCTGATACTTTGTTTCGTATAGATCCAGGTTTCCATCTTGAATTGCTTTTCTTCTGCTTGAGGAGCTTCCTTCCTTATAATGTTGGTCTTATAATGTAGGTCTGCTAGCAATAAATACTTTCACTACTTTTACATCTGAAAAAGTCTTTATTTTTACTTTCTTTTTGAGAGACATTTCTATTGGATATAGATTGATAGTTTTTCCCCCTTTCATAGTTTAAAAATGCATTCCACTGCCTTTTCCCTTGCATTGTTTCCAGTGAGAAATCTGATGTCACTCTTATCTTTGTCTCTGTGTAATTTTTTTTCTCTGTTGTTAAGATTTCCTTTTTGTATTACTCAGCATTCTCCAAAGAAACAGAACCAACAGGATGTGTGTGTATACACAGAAAAATGTTTATAGGAATTGACTCATAATATCATGGAGGCTGTCAAGTCCAAAATCTTCAAGATGGATCAGCAGACTAGAGACCAAGGAAAGAGTTGATGCTGTAGTTTAAGTCCCAAGGCCAGCACAAATTTCCTTCTTGCTCTGGGGAAGTCAGTCTTTTGATCTATTCAGGTCTTCAACTGATTAGACAAACCAAACTGCATCATATAAAGAACTTTACTCAAAGTCTGCTGATTTATATATTAATCTTTTATATATGTATACACACACACACACACACACACACACACACATATATATAAACAAACACACTCACAGAAATATCCAGAACAATGTTTGACTATATATCTGAGAACTGTAGCCCAGCCAAGTTGACCCATAAAATTAACCATCACAAACTATCACTGGCTTTAGTAATTTCACTAGGACATGACTTGGTGTACTATCTCTTGTGCTTGTTGTTCGATGAATGTCTTGGATTTGTTATTTATCTTCAAGACTGGTAACATTTCATCCATCATTTCTTCAATTATTTTTTTTATCCCTTTCTCTACACCCTCACCTTGATATATTAAAATATTAGGTGTTACTCATATATCAGGTGAATTAAAGTTGTTCTATAGGACACTCCCCTGGGAAAGGAGTGGGACAAGGCTGTATTGTCACCCTGCTTATTTAACTTATATGCAGAGTACGTCAAGCAAAATGCCAGGCTGGACGAATCACAAGCTGGAATCAAGACTGCCAAGAGAAATATCAGCAACTTGAGATATGCAGATGATACCACTTTAATAGCAGAAAGGGTGAAAGAGGAGTGTGAAAAAACTGGCTTAAAACTCAACATTAAAAAAATGAAGATCATGGCATCCAATCCCATCACATCATGGCAAACAGAAGGGGAAAAATTGGAAACAGTGACAGATTTTATTTTCTTGGGCTCCAAAATCACTGCGAATGGTGACTGCAGCCATGAAATTAAAAGACGCCTGCTCCTTGGAAGGAAAGCTATGACAAACCTAGTCAATGTATTAAAAAGCAACAGACATCACTTCGCTGACAAAAGTCCCTATAGTCAAAGTTATGGTTTTTCCAGTAGTCATGTGTGGATGTGAGAATTGGCCCATGAAGAAGGCTGAGTGCTGAAGAATTGATGCATTCAAATTGTGGTGCTGGAGAAGACTCAGGAGGCATCCCTTGGACTGCAATGTGATTAAACAAGTCAATCCTAAAGGAAATCAACCTTGAATATTCACTGGAAGGACTGATGATAAACCTGAAGCTCCAACATTTTGGCCACCTGATGCAAACAGCTAACTCATTGACCCTAATGCTGGAAAAGATGAGGGCAGAAGGAGAAGCAGGCAGTAGAAGATGAGATACATCCTATCTAATGTCTCCCTTTCTCCCTCCCACCACTGCCTTACTTAATGGCTAAGGGTCCCACAATTCAGCCTTAGCATCATGGCAACAGTTATCCTTCCGAAACGGATTTTTGATCACACAGCTTCTCCTTGTTTAAAATACTCTGATGTCCCTCGACTATTTACAGATAAAGCTCAAATTCCTGAGCACAGCATAAATAGTTTGCCAAGATTTGGGCACTGCCTATCTCTTATGACTCCTGACATTCTATTAACCATGTATCACAGCCACATGGAAATGTGGTTCCCAGGAAGTAGCAACCTGTTTCAGGCCTCTCTGCCGTTACACAGACCTCCCCTCTGCCCCCCAAATCCTCTTTATTCTTCTACCTCACTCTCTTATTCTTACCTCTTGGACAAGCTTGCTTGTCCTCAAGATCCAATGGAAAGAACTCCATCATGCATCATCCTTTTCTCCCACCAGCCCAAGCAAAACTGATCACTCCTCCTTTATATATTTCTAGACACAAGCTTAATGTCTATGTGGGCAGTAGACTGACTCTCTGAAATGTTAACTAGAGTTTTCCCCAGTTTCTAACCCTGGATCTAGCACATCATGCTTGCTTGTGCTTGTGTCAGTTGCTAAGTCATGTCTGACTCTTCTGTGACCATATGAACTGTAGCCTGCCAGGCCCCTCTTTCCATGGGATTTCCCAGGGAAGAAAACTGGAGTGGGTTGCCATTTCCTTCTCCAAAGTAAGTGCTCAAAGTAAGCTGTCTGAATGAAAACTCTTTTTAAGTTTTTCAGACAATGTCTCAGCCCACTCCTCCCACAGTACCTCTGTTTTTCATTTCCTTCAACTATTCTTCCATAATTTCCTTTAATTAACACCTGTCTTTCATTTTCAGGTGAAAAAGAGGAAGTATTGAGGGAGTGACAAAAGCTCTTGATAGCACTTTGAGCTGGATAATTCTTTCTGGTGGGGGCCCATCATGTGTACTATAGGATATTTAACAGCATCCTTGGCTTCTACACAAAAGAAGTCAGTCGCACCTTCCCCCAGTTCTAAGAACCAAAATGTCTCCAGACATTACCAAATGTCCCCTCAGGAGTAAAATGTGCCCTGACTGAGAACCACTGCCTAGACTGACTTTTCTAGGCTACCTCAGTGAACATGGTAAGCCTGAATGATGGTCCCTGTGCCCACCATCTTCCAGGGAAGAAGACTGAGATTATCACTTGTACCGTGTAGGGAGTGTATGACCAACATAAGTAGGTTAGGGTGACACCTCAGGGGAGAAAGACACTCAGTGGGTCTGAGATGAACCCATTTGTCACAGTACTAGGATTCTAGGCTGCAGAGTTATTTTCTATCAACATTCTCCTGGCTTGATTTATTCAGTGGCACTGAAATGACCAACTAGAGGGATGGAAGGTACAATTTAATGCTATTAAAGCCTCCTTTAAACATAGTTTGAAAAATAAGAGTATCTGAAAATAAATAATAAATTCACTGAACCATCTCAGTGAAATGAGGGGATCCCACCAAAGCATAGGAAGCAAAAGAGAGCATCTCAGGGGTGAGAAAGAAAAGGATGAGGACCCTGGTACAGTACCCACCTGTTGTTGACACAACACTGTCAGGGCTTTCACTGCAGAGCTTGGACAGCAGGCTGGTCTTGCCAGAGCCCGTGAGGCCTATGCAGACCAGGTCATACTCCGGGCGTGCAGGCGGTGGACCCTTGCAGCAGAGTGCTCTAAAACACTGCCAAGAGAGGGGAAATATGGCTCTTTAATAAGACTGTAGAGGCAAAGCATAGTCACATTTTAAATGATCACATATTGAGAAGTAACCAAATAACCTATTCATTCTAAGGAGGAAAGGGGCATTGATGGTGAGAGACCCAAGGATATCACCTTGACTGAGCAATCAAAATTAATATCCCAGAAATGAGACTCACAAGGACTTGAAAACCCCCTCCTGCTGTGATGCAGGCACTGCAAGGGGCATCACGTCATCGCACAACTTTCCTGTCAAAAATGCACCACCAGCATCCGAGCACCAGGAGGTCAGACACCACCACTGTGAGGAGCATTCCGCAGAACAATTAGCCTGCTCTCCTCTAACATCTCAAAGAAAGGCTGAGGAACTGTTTCAGGTTAAAGAAGACTAAAGAGATGTAATAATCACAATGCCTCCTGGACTGGATCCTGGATTGGGTGGAGGAAAAACACCATAAACCAACCTTGTTGGGCAACAGATAACAGCTGAACAGAGACTGAATATTAGAACCTGCAATGATAGTATTGCATAAGGTTAAATTTCCTGAATTTTATCATTGGACTATGGTTACCAAATGAATATCACTGTCCTAAGAAAACAAATACTAAAGTGTTTAGTGATGGAGGGTCTTGATATCTGCAGTTAACTGGCTGAGGACAATTCTAAATCTCTACCTCCATCACCACCTCCACACCTAGATGGTGATGAATGTGATAAAGCAATCATGGTAAAATGTTAATGACGGAGGAACCTGAGTGGAGTCTAAGGGAAATTCCACATACTAGTCTTACAATGCTTTAATATTAGTTCAAAATAAAATTCTTTTAAAATCATTAAATCCAGTTCCCACATATATCACTGTCATCCTGACTTTTGAAACATTTTTTGCATGCTTAGTCACTAAGTCATGTCTGACTGTTTGCAACCTCATGGACTGTAGCCCGCCAGGCTCCTCTATCCATGGGATCTTCCAGGCAAGAACAGTGGAGTGGGCAGCCATTCCCTTCTCCAGGGGATCTTCCTAATCCAGGGATCAAACCCAGGTCTCCTGCATTGCAGGTGGATTCTTTACCATCTGAGTCACTAAGGAAGCCCACTATGGGGTGACTGGGCTTCATCAAGGCTATCATCTAAATGAGATGAGAAACTGGGAAAAAGTATGCTGAAAAAGCAAAGTGACAGAAAAGATTCCCTTACTGGTCAATTTTGATTAAAAAAAAAAATTGACTTCTTAAATCTGGACAAAGAAAATCACATACCACCCTTGGAACTTCAACTAACCTTCCTAAACCACCAAACAGGAGGAATTCCACTTTTGGGAGAAGCAAATGAAACAAAAATCCTCTTCTGACACAACCTAGAATTTTGCTTCAGGTCAAATGACCTCAGGGTACTATTAACTAGTGCTTGCTCTGCAATAGTTAAAAGACCAGGGGATTTAGGAGACTGGAAATTGTTCATGCAGTTTTTGGTCTTTCTACTTAATTGACATCCACTTATTAGAGGCCATCTAGTAGTTTACAAAGCCTAAAGTAATTAGGCCCTCAAAGATACATGAGGAAGGAGGAGACAGGGAGGTGAGAGGGATGCAGATTTACTGACTTCTTGGTCCTTTGGAGATCATGAGAGAAGAGACCTATAAAAAGTCTGTGCTAATTCTTCTTATGCTGATGAAATATGAGGTCTAACAGGCTGTCACACTCTTATTAATCAAGCTTGACTATTTCTCACCCTCACTTCTCATAGTCAGTAAGTCCAATCTGTATGACCTCTGAAATAGCTCTAGAATCTATCTGCCTCTCTCCAGCCCAAGTCACTGCTGCTTGGACAACATCAAAATCCTCCAACGAGTCCTAGTACATTCACCATTGCCCCCTCTATTCTTTTTTGCGGCTACCATTATGACTCAGGTGCTCTATAGAGCCCTCCATGATCTGCTCCACCCAAGCCTCCAGCCTCATCTCTGTAACTCTCCATCTTAGTACTCCACCTCCAGTAACACTGACCCTCTGGCATCGCACAGCATTCAACACATGCCACTCCCTTTTCCCCCAACTTTGGGCATAGTGAACACTTCACTGACTTTCAGGTTCCCGTTAAAGCAACCCTTCCTCAGCGCTGCCTGCTCTGATGGTAAGACTATGTGAGCAATTTGTGTCAAGCTCTCAGAGCACATTTGTGAATTCATCACACAGACAATTAGTTTCTTATTCATCACCAGACTGTGGGAACCATATCTATCCATCTTCATCTCAGTATCCCCAGTGCTCAGCAGAGACCACAGCATAGAATCCACTTTCAATGAAGAACTACTGAATGACATTTAAATATCATCTAAGAAAGGAGAAAAGAAAATGTAAAGGTTAACAGGAAGCTTGATCAATGCTCTCTGGGCCCCTCATACTTCAAGCAAATAGTGTTAACATTGAGAAATACTAGACTTTTTCACTTCTCTCCAATGCCAGAAGTGTTAGCCCAGTTCCCGAAAGAGTGATTTTGACGTGCAGGACCTACTTTCTTGGTATGATAGAACTTCTTTTTGTCCTAAATTCACTTTTCCTTGGCTTTTAAGAAGCTCTGCTTCTGGTAAATTTACTTCTGGTAAATTCTATGATCATCTAACCCATATTCTTCATGGATTTATTAAACTCTAATCATATTTCTTCTCAGTCTTTTCAAGTCTGAGAAGTCCTAATTATTTCAGTGTGCCTTCATATAGCAAACCCCTCCCACTCCTCCATCAGATTAGTGACTTTTCTCTGGCCTTACTTGCACTCAATTTCGCCTCTTCTACAAGATTAATGACTATAACTACAAAAAGTATCCTAGATGCCAGTACATCACATCACGGATTCATAGGAAGGTTGGCTGATGATATCAGACTTTTTGCAAACTTTTTCTTACCCATAAAAGAAAGAAGTCCCCTGAACTCATGATGAGAATTTTCCTGAGAGACAGATATATGTATGTATGTGTTCCCTCAAAGACTGGCCAGCTATGCACTAAGAAGAGCTCTGCCAAGTTCAGCTATGACAGATAACACGACTAGTCTCTTACTGAATTGCTCTGATCTTTTTGGGAAAAGAGGAGAGAGACCCTATTCCTGCTCTGAACACCCCCATTTGTGCTCAGCTCCTGTACCGAAATTCCCCTGAACTCTCTCTTGAAAAGAAGACTTGCCCACCTACCCTGGCTGAAATGATCATCAATCTTAAATACAAGATGAAATTGCAGGTGACTGACTGCTGTATCAGGTGACTGATAAACTAGCCAATCTGATCACATGGACCACACCCTTGTCTAACTCAATGAAACTAGGCCATGCCATGTGGGGCCAACCAAGATGGATGGGTCATGGTGGAGAGTTCTGACAAAATTTGGTCCACTGGAGAAGGGAATGGCAAACCACTTCAGTATTCTTGCCTTGAGAACCCCATAAACAGTATGAAAACACAAAGATATGACACTGAAAGATGAATTCTCCAGGTCAGTGGGTGCCCAATATGCTACTGGAGATCATGGAGAAATAACTCCAGAAAGAATGAAGAGACGGAACTAAAGCAAAAACAACACCCAGTTGTGGATGTAACTGGTGATGGAAGCAAGGTCTGATGCTGTAAAGAGCAACATTGCATAGGAACCTGGAATGTTAGGTCCATGAATCAAGGCTTCCAATCAAATTGGAAGTGGTTAAACGGGAGATGGCAAGAGTGAACACTGACATTTTAGGAATCACTGAACTAAAATGGACTGGAGTGGGTGAATTTGACTCAGATGGCCATTATATCTACTACTGTGGGTAAGAATCCCTCAGAAGAAATGGAGGAGCCATCACAGTCAACAAGAGTCTGAAATGCAGTACTTAAATGCAATCTCAAAAACAACGGAATGATCTGTTTGTTTCCAAGGCAAACCATTCAATGTCACATTAATCCAAGTCTATGCCCCGACCAGTAGTGCTGAAGAAGCTGAACTGATCTATGAAGACCTACAAGGACTTCTAGAACTAACACCCAAAAAAGATCTCCTTTTCATTATAGGGGACTGGAATTCAAAAGTAGGAAGTCAAGAAACACCTGGAGTAACAGGCAAATTTGGCCTTGGAGTACAGAATGAAACAGGACAAAGACTAATAGGGTTTTGTCAAGAGAATGCACTGGTCATAGCAAACACACTCTTTCAACAACATAAGAGAAGAATCTACACATGGACATCACAGGATGGCCAACACCGAAATCAGATTGATTATATTCTTTGCAGCCAAAGGTGGAGAACTTTGATAAGAGTCAGCAAAAACAAGACCAGGAGCAGACTGTGGCTCAGATCATAAACTCCTTATTGCCAAATTCAGACGTAAATTGAAGAAAGTGGGGAAAACCACTAAACCATTCAGGTATGACCTAAATCAATCCCTTATGATTATACAGTGGAAGTGAGAAACAGACTTAAGGGACTAGATCTGATAAAGTGCCTGATGAGCTATGGACAGAGGTTCATGACATTGTACAGGAGACAGGGATCAAGACCATCCCCCCAAAAAGAAATGCAAAAAAAACAAAATGGTTGTCTGAGGAGGGCTTACAAATAGCTGTGAAAAGAAGAGAAGCAAAAAGCAAAGGAGAAAAGGAAAGATATTCCCATTTGAATGCAGAGTTTCAAAGAATAGCAAGGAGAGATAAGAAAACCTTCCTCAGCGAGCAATGAAAAGAAATAGAGGAAAACAATAGAATGGGAAAGACTTGCGATCCTGTCAAGAAAATTAGAGATCCCAAGGGAACATTTCATGCAAAGATGGGCTCAATAAAGGAAGAAATGGTATGGACCTGACGGAAGCAGAAGATATTAAGAAGAGGTGGCAAGAATACACAGAAGAACTGTACAAAAAAGATCTTCACAAGCCAGTTAATCACGATGCTGTGATCACTCACCTAGAGCCAGACATCCTGGAATGTGAAGTCAAGTGGGCCTTAGAAAGCATCACT